TCAAATTGGATTTTGTGCATTATTCTGGACATCATAATAATTATTGTTCAATGTATATATATAAATTTGATATTAAATCATGCTGAACTTAGCTATTTGTGCATATTAAAGTCTGCACATTAAAGCATTAGTTCAATGTATATATACATGTATATATATATATTAAATATATAATATATTTTTAATATGATATCATACTTAAATTGATACTTAAACACCGCGTATAATATCATATCCGAATGTTGAGTTGAGATTATTATAAGTCTGCATATCATACTAAGCACGGATTATTGTGCATAAGTCTGCACATTATAACAGCGGTTAATGTTCAATGCATATATATTTCACATGATTTCACGTGGAGCTTAGAATTGTGTGAATACGTATGCACATTATAATGGTGAATATCTTATGCATATATGTTTCATAGGATATCATACTAAGATTGCATGGTGGCTCAGTCGTTAGCCTCATGAACGGGAGGTCGTGGATTCGAACCCCGGCCGAGTCATACCAAAGACTTATAACAATGGGACCTTCTGCCTTCTAGCTAGGCGCTCATCATATTAGATTGAAGAAGGGTAGTAATAACATATTATGTTATGCAGGGCCCGCTGGAAGAACAGTTTCATAACTGAAGTGGCTACCCTGGGTAAATAAAAGTTATTATTATTATGATTTGTGTGTATTATTCTGCGCATCATAATGTTTAATGTTCAATGTAGTTATAATATATTTTATATGATATCATACTGCATGAGATTGGATTTTTTTTGTGTGTATATAAATCTGCACCGTCATAATGGTGAATGCTCATTGCATATATATATTTCATATGATATCATACTGAAAATGAATTTGTTTGTATTAGCCTGCACATCATTTTAATGTCTAATGTATAAATATATTTCGTATGATATTAAACTGAGATTAGATTTTGGGGAATTAATCAGTCTACACAGGTTAAATGTCTCTTGTATTGGAATTTCGTATGGCGTCATATCATAGTTTTTAGTTTTTGTGCATAAGTCTGCACATCAATGTAATAATCTCGAGGCTGCCTATTTTCAAGTGTATACTTTTTGTTGTCCTCATTTTCTTGTTCAAATGTAATTATTTACGAATGTACACTCTGATGATTTATTTGATTTTCAATAATAAAATGATTTGAATTTTTATTTTGCATTTATTAACATTTATTTCCTTCACAACAGTACAATATGAAACACAATGTATATATACAAGATATATGTAACAATTATTTCAACATAGAGTATACAGTAAATAATTCAGATACGGAGGGAGGCGAAAACCCGGAAAGCATAGCTTGAGTTGGGAACGCCCATAATAAATTAATCTTAATGGCGCATGTTTATTGCATACATATATTTTAATGATAGCATACTAAGATAGGATATTTATGCATAAATCTGCTAATGTCCAATGTTTATATATTTCATATAATATCATTCTGATATTGTATTTTGTGCATAAGTCTGTCCATGATATCCAGATATAACGCATTTTGGTACAAAGCACTGCACAATTCCATCATTTATTTCTCTTGTACTTTTTAATTGAGGGAGATACAGAGAGAGAGAGAAAGAAAGAAGGAGAAAGAGAAATAAGGAGAGAGAGAGAGAGAAAGAGAGAGAGAGAGAGAGAGAGGTGAGAGAAACAGAGACGGCGAGTTGTTGGACTTAACGATTTTGACAATTAGGACCATCGAGAGGGCTCTCTTCTTCTACAGGGCAAGAATGTATTACACATTATAATGTAAACTTCCCTCACAGATGTTATAGATTTCTCCAGGCAATCATGTGTTGACGGGTCTTCTGACAATATTCTCTATATAGATATTGCATTGACCATACAATTAAATAATAGTACGCCCGTCTACTCTGTACTTGTAAATAAAATAAAAATCCAAATCAATGAATTGTTTTTGTATTTGTTAATGTTTTGGGTTTCAGAAAGCAAACTATATATTCTTAGCTTGATCTTATTAAAACGAACTTGTTAAGGTCTCAAAAAATGTTCGGCAGAGGATGGGGCCCGGGGACGACTTCTTAAAACCTATACCAGCCATTCTACCGCTGCATTTGATTGGCTCAAAAGAAACATATACGTCATGCACCAGTCATAAATATTCCTAATACTCACGAACACAGAATCTGATGCCATAATTGATCCTATGATGACATTTTATAGAAAAATTAAAAGTGCAAAGCTTAAATGACATCGAGAAAATCGCGAGGCTTACCGTAAACGAATGACTTTCCAGGTCGAAACTTGTTCATAATCATTGCGACATACCGTTTGCCCAGAACCTGACCGATTTAATTTTGATCTCCACCGCTCCGTACCAACGCAAGTATTCAAATATTCAAATCGGCGCTAAAAAGGATGGGTTATAATAGGTTATACAAAAAAAAGTGGGGGGAGGTTCAAGGATAGGAAGGCTTTCCTCCTTTTTGTGCTGCAATATCTATGGTGGCCCTGAAGGGACATCGCGAATAGACTAAATCGTGAAAAATATGCGATAAAATTCACGATATCGTCAATTTTATCGCATATTTTTCACGAAGAAATTCACGAAATTGACGATATCGTGAACTTTATCGTGAACTTTTCACGATGAAATTGACGATATCGTGAATTTTATCGTGAAAAGTTCACGATATAAAGTTCACGATATCGTCAATTTTATCGTGTACTCTATCGTGTACTCTATCGTGTACTCTCCTGACGGGCGCTTCGTAAACAAAACCAGCCCTAGCTGGGGGAGACAGAGAGAAGGAAAAAAGGGAAAGGGAAAGAGAAGATAAAAGGAAAGAAAGAATAATAAGAAGAAAAGAGGGAAACGGGGGGGGGGGCGAAGGGCTCTTGCCTCCTCCTCACTCCCCCCCCCCCCCCTCCCCGCCAAAAAATAAATCAGAGAGAGATACTGAGAAGGGAAAGGGAAAGGGAAAGAGAAGATAAAAGGAAAGAAAGAAGAGGAAGAAGAAGAAAAGAGGAAAACGGGGGAAGGGCGAAGGACTCTTGCCCCCCCTCCCCCCCCCGCCAAAAAATAAATCAGAGAGAGAGAGAGAAGGGAAAGGGAAAGGGAAAGAGAAGATAAAAGGAAAGAAAGAAGAGGAAGAAGAAGAAAAGAGGGAAACGGGGGCAAAGGGCTTTTGCCTCGTCCCCCCGCCCCCCGCCAAAAAATAAATAAGAGAGAGAGAGAGAGAGAGAAGGAAAGGGAAAGAGAAGAAAGAAAGAGAAAAACGAAAAAGAGGGAGAATAGGAAAGAAAGGAAAAGAAAGAAAAGAAAGGAGGCAAGAGCCCTTCGCCCCTGTTTCCCTCTTTTCTTATTCTTTTTCCTCTTCTTTCTTTCCTTTTATATTTTCTTTCCCTCTCCCTTCTCTTTCCCTTTATGGCGGGAGGGGGGAGGGGGAGGTAAGAGCCTTTCGCCCTTCCCCCGTTTCCCTCTTTCCGTCTTCTTCTTCTTTCTTTCCTTTTATATTTTCTTTCCCTTTACCTTTCCCTTCTCTCTATCTCTCTCTCTCTCTCTCCTATTTATTTGTTGGCGCGGGAGGGGGGGGGAGGAGGCAAGAGCCCCTCTTTTCTTCTTATTCTTCTTCCTTTCCTTTTTTATTCTCTTTCCCTTTCCCTTCTCTCTCTCTCTCTCTCTTATTTATTTTTTGGGCGGGGGGATGCAAGAGCCCTTCGCCCCCGTTTCCCTCTTTTCTTCTTCTTCTTCCTCTTCTTTCTTTCCTTTTATCTTCTCTTTCCCTTTCCCTTTCCCTTCTCTCTCTATCTCTTATTTATTTTTTTGGCGGGGGTGGGGAGGGAGGAGGCAAGAGCCCTTCGCCCTTCCCCCGTTTCCCTCTTTCCTTCTTATTCCTCTTCTTTCTTTCCTTTTATATTTTCTTTCCCTTTCCCTTCTCTCTCTTATTTATTTTTGGCGGGGGGGGGGGGGGAGGAGGCAAGAGCCCTTCGCCCTTTTCCTGTTTCCCTCTTATTCCTCTTCTTTCTTTCCCTTTCTCTTCTCTCTCTCTCTCTCTCTCTCTCTCTCTCTTATCTATTTTTTTGGCGGGGGGGGGGGGGGGGGGAGGTAAGAGCCTTTCGCCCTTCCCCCGTTTCCCTCTTTCCTTCTTCCTCTTCTTTCTTTCCTTTTATATTTTCTTTCCCTTTCCCTTCTCTCTCTTATTTATTTTTGGCGGGGGGGGGGGGGAGGAGGCAAAAGCCCTTCGCCCTTCCCCTGTTTCCCTCTTATTCCTCTTCTTTCTTTCCCTTTCCCTTCTCTCTCTCTCTCTCTCTCTCTTATTTATTTTTTTGGCGGGGGGGGGGAGGTAAGAGCCTTTCGCCCTTCCCCCGTTTCCCTCTTTCCTTCTTCCTCTTCTTTCTTTCCTTTTATATTTTCTTTCCCTTTCCCTTTCCCTTCTCTCTCTCCTTATTTATTTTTTGGCGGGGGGGGGGGGGGAGTGAGGAGGAGGCAAGAGCCCTTCGCCCCCCCCGTTTCCCTCTTTTCTTCTTATTATTCTTTCTTTCCTTTTATCTTCTCTTTCCCTTTCCCTTTTTTCCTTCTCTCTGTCTCCCCCAGCTAGGGCTGGTTTTGTTTACGAAGCGCCCGTCAGGAGAGTACACGATAGAGTACACGATAGAGTACACGATAAAATTGACGATATCGTGAACTTTATATCGTGAACTTTTCACGATAAAGTTCACGATATCGTCAATTTCGTGAATTTCTTCGTGAAAAATATGCGATAAAATTGACGATATCGTGAATTTTATCGCATATTTTTCACGATTTAGTCTATTCGCGATGTCCCTTCAGGGCCACCATAAATATCCCATGTGCTGCTTAATACTTCTCCAACTGAAAATTAAAGACCGCCATCTACGTCAAATTTTGGTCTGTGTTTACATTTTTCTTTGCTATCCAATCGAGCATGCACACATATAAAATCACACACACACACACACACACACCCCCATATGCTGAATGTGTATCGCCTGGCGCTTCATCCTACATGTGCATTTTTATCTCAAGCTCCATACTATTCATAGACCTCACGTATAGTGAACGAACGTATTGTGGTGTAGTATATCATACGAGTACAGCACATAAACAAGCGCACGCAGTATAATATATATATAGTAGCTGCGCTGGCATTGGCATAATTCCAAAGTTGACTTCAAGTGCCAAGATGGGTGCTTATCGCTATGTTATCATCGGTGTACTCATTTTAGGAGCGTTATCTGGGTACCTATTTCATCCTCCTGTACCGAAGGGCCTCTCGGAGCCATGGAAATACCGGCTGGTTCTTGGTGTGGCGAAAATTACACGAGTTCTGGTAAGAAAATAAATCGCTATGGCGACATGCACTATGGTGATCAGTGTGTACGCTTAATGTTTTGTGTTTGTCAATGACATTGAATGACATTGTCCCGTCTGTATGACCCTTTGATGTTGTACTAGTACCGGCATATTGTCAAGTAAACAAACATAACCCATATTAGAATGTCATGATGAAGTCCAATGATTGTGGCTAATAAATTGACGTCGTTACGAACGAACAAGCATTGTCACTGATTATAATTGATAATTAATTGATGATAATGATAAATGATGATACATGATAGAAGTATTTCTAGAAAAAGTAGTATTAAGTATAATACAATGATGATAATTATAATAATAAGTATATTAATAATATAATAATAATGATTATATTATAACAATAATTGTAGGCCTAATGATGATAATGATAATGAGATATAACTGGTAGGCCCAACAATTAACAAATAATTTGCCAATAAAATGAAGTCACTAACTATATAGCTAGCTAGCTCATTGATCGATCTGTCTAAAATAATCAATAAAAAGATAACTTATTTACAAAAAATTACAAACTGGTTTCAGTTGCCTGAAAAAAGTAACAAATTGAGCATTTATTTTTATAGCAATCTTCAGTTCAAAATATTGAGAACACAGTTCCTTATCAAATTTTGTCATTATAAAATCCGAGCCAAAATGTTTGTTTTTTCATTCCCAAGGCTTTTGTAAAGTATCAGTTATTATTATTATGCTTAACCGCTATTAGATGTAGTATTTTTATAATTATAATTTTTCGTAGTAGTATTTTTAAATCATTATTGATATTATTTTTCAAATCATTATTATAATAATATAATATATCATCATCGTAATTAGTAGTAATATTATTTGATATTATGACTATTATTATTACTATTGTTATTGTTTGTATTCTTATTAATCATTATTATTTTAATTATTATCATTATTTTTGTTATCATTATTATCATCATCATAATCATCATTATTACCCTCATCATTATTATTATTATTAATGATTTCTTCTCATTTTGCAGGCTTTTGTAAAGTACCGAATCGCAAGCCGCAACCAGACCTTTATTGATACATACAGAGGAATGTACAGAAAGCATCGACCCAAGGAACTCATTTCAGGCTCTAACATTAGGTCAAAGGTCATGAACTTTGATGGGGTCACAGTTCGTCTCTATGAGCCGATTGAGAGGAAAGAGGAGGCAACTCCAGCCATGGTATTCATGCATGGGGGTGGCTTGGCATTTGCAAATATTGGTAAGCATTGGTAGTTTCCTGATGTACCTTTGTCAACTAATGGTAATATTAAATATAGCTAAATCAAGATCATCTAATCATACCTTACATGTATATACCTTCTTGTAGTCTATTCACATCATCATCTTCTTCAGATCCCAAGAGTTAGACTCACCTGTGGAACAAGTTACCTTCAGAGTTGAGGACTACAAAAGTATTAGAGAGTTTCAAATCCAAGTTGAAATACTTCTAATTTTTTTAGCACTCATGGTCTTTCCTTGGACACAAGAATATGGCTCTTATTAATATTTACCTAGTTAACTCTTATTTATTATCTAGATTTCCTTTTACGCCTCGGAATAAAACTTTGAGATTGATGCAAAATATAAATGTTAATATTACTATTTTCATTTTTTATTATTATTATTGTTTTTGTTGTTGTTAGTTTTGGTTGTGTTGAATATGGATGAGATGTCAATGAAAGACTGAAAAAAGTTCAAAAATATATCCAGGATAGCTTTTGCTAGTTGTGTGTTTCAGACTTTCAGCCCATGGAGAAATAAGGGAAAGAATAAAAATACATTAATTTGAGAATGCTGTATTACTCAATTACAATAACAAAAAGTTGAAGGTCATAAATGTAGTAAAGGAGATAAATGACCGGATGTATTTAATAGAAGGTGCCACTTGCCCGACCTGTATATGTAACAGTAATTAGTGGTTATGGTCATTGGAAAAATGATAGTTTACATTGATGAGGACATTGAGATAGAGGTGCATGCACATGTAAGTAATTTACTGCAGTAATGCTGTACCAAAGAAGCATTTAATTTCATCCACATTTCTATTGTTGTTATCTTCTTATCACCCCCATAGATGTGTATGATCGTCTCACTCGTCAGATGGCTGAGAAATTAGACATTGTCCTCGTGTCCGTCGAGTAAGTCACTTGATCATTATTATAAATTCGTCTGAGACTATTTCATTTTCATTTTCATTTTAAATGCATTTGCAATAGCTTCAATTCTACGTTATCTTTGGATTGTAATAACTTAAATGGTTTGATTGATGTATATTTAATATAAGTGTTGAGCAGCAAATTATTAATAAACTGTTAATGCATTTCAGTTTACAATATTTTTTTCTTCTCCACTTCTTTTCCAGGTACAGGAAGATTCCAGAATATCAGTTTCCTGCTCAAATAGAAGACTCGATGAAAGCAACCAGATATTTACTGACTCATGCAAGCGATTTCAAAGTGGATGCCAGCCGAGTGGCTGTATCAGGTGACAGCGCTGGTGGTTACCTAGCAACAGTCATAGCCCAACAGGTGTACGATGATCCAGACCTGCCTAACATTAAGGTCCAGGTCCTATTTTACCCTGGGACGCAAATGTACGACTTCCAGACACCCTCGCACCAGAAATGTTCGGCGCTTTTTGGCAACGACGGGATGTTGACGCATCAGACGCTCGCATGGTTGGGGAGCATGTACCACTTTGGAAAGGCGGACTTTGAGTTCATGGGTCAAGTCATGTCCAATAACCACACGGCGCCCTCGTTCAAGCAGACAAAGCGCTACCAGAAAAACATCAATCATAGTCTCATCCCAAAAGAGCTCATTCCAGATTTTTACCAGCCGCCGCCCAACAACACGGGCAGTGATGTATTGTGGGAGAAGATTAGGGATGTATACATGGATCCCAGACACGACCCACTGATGCGGGATGACCTCCGTGGAATGCCAGACAGTTTCATCGCAACGTGCGGGTTTGACTGTATCCGTGATGATGGGATCATGTATGCTAAGCGTTTAGAGCAAGCTGGTAATCATGTGGAATGGGTGAATTATAACGGATGCTTCCATGGCGTGCTCTGGCAAGGATGGATTAATTTTAAGAACGGTAAGCAGATGCTGGAAGATGGGCTTGCTTATGCCAAGATACATCTCTGAGTCAAAATTCCTCTCATTGAATTCGCCTTGAGCAGGCATCTCGCTCATGTATACACATACAGAGCGTTATGACAGCCCCAACCAGCAATGATGCAGTAACCTCTTCCACAAAACCCGCCTACCAAAAGAAAAACAAGTTTTACATGTCCTGCATAAAATCTGTCATATGTACATGTAAGACCGTTGTTCCACATACTCAGAATATTTGCCACCACAAAATCTTGTCTTGCAATTCATTTTCACGTAATAGTTTTAGCACCTTTTTATAGGAGTAGTTACTGCATCATATCTGGACACGGCCTACTGTCAGAAGGGTATTACATGTAAGTCTGTGTGAATGTTTGTGGGTTAATGCTCTAAGCTCTCAGCTATTGAAGCATGTACACCTTTACTCTATGGATCCAGTCAGGCAGTTACTATTTAAATGGTTATTTTACTTCTTTTATATATATTTGTATGCTATGCCGGTGATTGTTCATGAAGATAATAGATTTACTGCATTAAAGATGGCAAGATTCAAGATGCTGTAAATTTGAAAATGAAATATTCCATGCACCTTGCTATTTAATCATGCAATCTAATCTCACTTTATATCTTAATTGATTCATTGTTGCAAATTGAGAAGTTAAAATTATGTGAATAGACAAAAAATGTAGCACTTCATGGAGAGGAATAGATCTCCCAGGATTTTAAAAAGGAGGCTTCCTAATTTTCTTTTTTAATAGATGTTCCATGGTAAATAATACATGTTATACTTAATTTTTATTTCAATTTTGGTTGTAAAGCTGTTGTAGAAAAGATCCATACTCTGAAATAATGGGACTTTGTACTTCTAGAACTTTGTATTTGTCCAAAGAAAGACACCTGTTTCTGTTTTCATCATCATTTACTTGGTTTGCAATGTTCAGTACCATTGACATTGAGAAGCAAAAGGCCAATACCCTTTTTGCTCTCGATATAATGTGTACAATCTTTTGAAGGTTCACAGGCTAAATAGTTGTATTTATTATAGAGCTGAACAAATTATTTCACATCAATAGAAGAAATCATTGTTCATGTTTGCATCAAAGCTGTTGTCCAGCAAAGTGCACCCGAAGCGCACAAAACATTTACCAATAATACAAAAGTGATAAAATGGTACAAAAGAAAATCATTGCAAAAATTAAAAAATGTAAGAAAAGCTGATAAAAGACAATATTCAGGTATAATTATTGAATGGTTACGACAATCTTTGATTTAAAGTGTTTTTCTTCTGGACGGTTGTAACTTGTAAGCTATTATTGGTGTCCTATAGATATACATCTATGTTATAGAGTTGATGAGAGCGTTGGGTGTATATGCCTACATGGCTAATTGGCTATAGTTATTTACAGTGTATTGATCGTAGGTCAGAAGCACATATCATTTGTAATTGTGTTCTTTATAGGGGTTAAGTCTGACGTCCAGTATTCTGTGAGCTGTGCAAAGTTTAGACTTTGATCTTAAGCTTATGGTGTGATAGAAGAAAAACCCATAGTCACCCTGCCAAGTTGACTCTAAACTACAGTGTTACAGTAGAATCTCATTTTGTTTTCAGTCAATTGCTTGTTTAGTGGTATTAAAGGTAAAGACCAGTTATGGTCATGTGATTGCATTGTAAAAGAAACGTTGTGGAATCGATCAGAAAAGGTTGATCATCTAGCATCTAGCATCTGCAAGGTTCTGGAATCATCTAAATGATAAAAAAATTGGCCCATTCTTCGTAAAGTTACAAGCACTATACACAGAAAGATGTATATGGGACTACCCTATATCTCTCACAGACCATGAGAGAAACAAATTTACCAAATATATGAATTAGTAGGCGGTTTCCTGGCAAATTTGTTATCATCATGATAGTCAAAACATATTCTTTCACATGATTGGTAATGAGAGCTTCCATTTCATTTTTGAAATTGGAGCGTTTCCAATACTGGTCTTTAGCTTTAATGTGCCTGGACTCTGGAGTATTACAGTCACTGCACTCCTTGTGATCTGACTACAACTAAAGTTATGTCTGAAAGCCCAAAATATTAAAATGCTGTACCAATCACCTGAAAAAATTGTTTGTATAATAGGTTAAATGTTAAAATTCAATCTAAAGAAAAAACTAATTTACCTTGTATTTTTAAAGGTTAATGGATAAAGAGTACCATACAATTATGAGTGTAAAAAATCAAGTGTGTCTTGGATTCATATGGGAACAATGGTTGATTTGATTTATGAACATGAAATCAGAAGATGATATTTTTGACAAAAATAATGAATATCTGACTATGTGCAATATTGAAATAAGAAATAGCCAGAATTCTTGTGTTTCTAGACAAATGTACTCTGATGTACATGGAATATGATTCCTACAGTCTATTCTCAATCATGTTCTTCAATATTGCAAAGTAAATGAGGATATGTTATTATAAGCTACTTATACAAGACATAACAAGGAGTCCTTCTGTATCTCGTCAATCAATGTTGTGTAATTGAATGCCATGCATAATGCTGGTAGGAAGATACATGTAGCTACGTTCACACGTAACCTTGTGAAACATACCTCTTCAATCAATGTTGTGTAATTGAATGCCATGCATAATGCTGGTAGGAAGATACATGTAGCTACGTTCACACGTAACCTTGTAAAACATACCTCTTCAATCAATGTTGTGTTAATTGAATGCAATGCATATGCTGGGAGGAAGATACATGTAGCTATGTTCACACGTAATCTTGTGAAACATACCTCTTCAATCAATGTTGTGTAATTGAATGCCATGCATAATGCTGGTAGGAAGATACATGTAGCTACGTTCACACGTAACCTTGTGAAACATACCTCTTCAATCAATGTTGTGTAATTGAATGCCATGCATAATGCTGGTAGGAAGATACATGTAGCTACGTTCACACATAACGTTGTGAAACCTTGACCCACAACCCATTAACCATGACGATGAGGGTTCATACGGGACTGAAATAATGAATATTCATAGTCAACTACAAGCTGGGCAGAGAATTCATTTAAAGATGACGTTGAGTTCTGGTCATGCGATTGCATTGTGAAAGAAACGGTGTGGAATCGATCAGAAAAGGTTGATCATCTAGCATATTATATGTGTGTATTGCAAGGTTCTGGAATCATCAAAATGATATGAAATTTGGCCAAGTCTTGGTAAAGTTACAAACACTGTACACAGAAAGATGTACATGGGACTATCCGACTACACGAACACGTGGCGTAAAAATCCTACCCTGGAGTTTTACGATGTTACATGACATATTAATAATATGAAGGCATTTGAAGAGCCATGATTTTCAGGGAACATGTCTTATCTGATGTTCTTCCACTCTTGCATAATAAGAATGATAAAGCTCACAAATTGTTTTTCTCCTCTTCCTAGAACTCAACCTTCTCTTTAAACTATATGCTGGCTTAACCTCAATGTTAATTGCATCGTCATGGACCCTCTGCTGTTTATAGTTATGGCGCTATTAATCTGAAGCTCTGTCTTGGTTTGTAAATTCAAGTTAACTTAAAAGATCTGTATGGTCAAGTGCTTTTGGATGATCTCCAAGTACAAGAAGACTTCAAAGTTTATAACCATGGCCTAAACTTTAAGTTGACTGATTGTCGTGTGAACCTTACTACTGTCTGATCATATGGGTATCAGGTGACACATGGTAGAAAATAAACCACATGATTTTGTAGAGGTCCTGTATGGTTATCCAGAATAAATTTTCCTTTTGTCTATGGGGGCTCTCTCTTGAATTTGAGGGTAAAAGTGATATTTCCACATATATTTTTATTTTTGGGATTTCATTTTTTTTCTCCCCAGCCAGATCTCTTAACAAATTTCCAGAGGTGTTTTTGTCAGATATGTAAATAATTTGCTTGTACACCCTGTAGTCATCAAGATAGAACTCGTATTGATTCTTAATGGTAAACAGGGTCTCTTGAGGTAGTTTATTATCTTGTAGTGAGAACCAGAAGGGCTTTAACTCATTTTATTTTACATGGGGTTCTGATTAGTCACGTTATTGTCTGTCTAGAACCAGAAGGATTTTGAATATCTCAGCAGATGAAATATGTTTTTTTAATTCTTACCAGAGCAGGTACCAGAGCTCTGTTTGACATTTCCCAACGTGTAATGGGTTTTCCCAGAGTTAAATTTCTCATCACCTGTGTATTTATAGATCCTTTATGCTCATTGAAGGGCAATGAAAGTTCATGTGGCCAAACATATTCAGATGCTTGTTTAAAAAGTTAAAATACTATTGTTTCTCTCAGGTTACAAGCTGCTTTAATTACGTGTAGTTTTGTTCTACCTCTACTCTTAGCTATCAATCTCACCTGTTGTCCACAATTTTCTTGATACTGGTATTCATGTCAAAGAAAATCATTGAAAGAGAGAGTGAGAGACATACTGAAACTCTGTCTTGCACTCTTCAAAGAAACTTCCTAGAATGAACAGAATGCTAAAATTCCTCTTCAATACTGTTCTTCACTTGTGCCTGCCTGCTATCCCCCAGATGCTCATTTTATTGTTAATTTAGAATGGGATATACAGTCCCTCTAGTCTCCACACTCTCTTTCCATTTGTATGTGTTTCATCATTACATCTGCTACCTCTCTGAACAGTGTTATCTATCTCTCATTTCATATTCTTTGGCTCACTTTATATATTTTTGAAGATATATACATGTAGCTAGCTGTGGGATATCATGTATCACACTTATCCTTTACACACTTCAATAGCTAAAAAAAAATGTTGCTATTCTTTGTTTTAGTTTAGTTATGAACTCCTGCTCAGGTAAAACACACTCAACATTGCACATATTATTTCCAGTGTTGTCCAAATAGAGATGTAGGGCATGCACAAAACGCTGTAATTATCCAGACCATTGTCATTTTTGTTTATATCTTGAAATTGTCAAAATCTAGATGTTTTTGTTTCCTGGCGTTAATAAGCAGACAATTATTTTGCTTGTTAGGAAACATTACTACAATTTTTTGTTGGTAGTAAGTTACCTGATTATTGTATCTTGATAATATTTGTTTGAATTTATCAGCAAGTCATTATATTCATTTTACCATCTGGAAATTAACATATTTGT